AATTCAAGAATTCTATATTAAACTGTCCACTTTTTATATTTGCAATCAGACCAACTTAAAAATTCTAAATTTAACAGTCCACTTTTTTTATACTTGCAATCAGACCAATTTAAATACTATATTTAACAGTCCAAATTTTGTACTTGCAATCAGACCAACTTAAAAATTCTATATTTAACAGTCAACTTTTTGTACTTTCAATCAGACCAACTTAAAAATTCTAAATTTAACAGTCCACTTTTTTATACTTGCAATCAGACCAACTTACAAATTTTAAATTTAACAGTCCACTTTTTATACTTGCAATCAGACCAACTTAGAATATCTATATTTAACAGTCCACTTTTTGTACTTGCAATCAGACCAACTTATAAATTTTAAATTTAACAGTCCACTTTTTATACTTTCAATTAGACCAACTTAAAAATTCTAAATTTAACTGTCCATTTTTTATATTTTCAATCAAACCAACTTAAAAATTACGTTAACAATTAAATATATAAGAAAAACACTTAGCTAACTGGAATATAAGGAAGCAAATGGCTCAATAGCTTAACATGAGTCGTTCATTAAGACATTTTAAGTATTGTTTTTACATATAAAATGTAGCATGCATATATATATGTATATATATAGTTAAAATAATTGTGTTATAATACCATAGAAAGTTAGTTAATTTAAACGTTCAGTAGCTTGAAGAGATAGCAAAGTCGCTCGTGTACAGCGGTGATAATATTAATTTACTAGAGATTAAGTCGTTACTGTATAGTGTTCATTAGTCATAATAGCGAAGTCTTCTTTACTAATCCTACCCATTAGTTGCTTTTCAAAAATATTATACATACAGCAAACTGGAAGTTTCCAAAGAACATATGAAACACGCGATTACTGCAGAACAATACCATTGTCATCTTTTACTTGCATCAAAGTGCACGTTTTATAATCGCTTCCAACGTTTTTCGCTATTTTATATATTTGCACTAATTAGAACATCGTCGCAAATTCATCTAACTAGAAGCAGAACAAAGAGAAAAGAAGATTGCTACAATACGCACGCATATGTATGTTAGAAAAAAACAACACAGAATTTATAAGAATTTCTATTCTTTTTTTTTTAGATAAAATTTTGTTTTATTACACACATGTTGTTAGCTTAACTAGATACCAGGTGTTGTCCTCCTTTTAAAATTTGGCTCTTCTCCTACGAAGTGTTTCTGAGTAAATGTGTCCCAAGGAAAAAATCATAGCACAGAGCCACTAATAAACGTGCATATTGAAAATAAGATCCCGGCTACCAGCTGGTTACGTTAAATAACACAAATAGGAATTATTGATGGTAATTATATGCCATGTAATTTTCTAAATGTAACTCATCTTAAGGAGAACGCAACACTATAGAAATAAATCTAAAGTTATCGCAGAATAAAAATATTGAAGCCTTAATTTATCAACTTAATATCTTACATATAATTATTAACTAAATATTTTACTAACAGATAAACGTTACGACAAATTGTTATGGTGTGAATTCCTTTTGCTGGCGAAGCGTGATCATAATTAATTATATTTGTCACAAGATCAATAGTATTAGTCTCACTGTATCCTAACCAGCCTGATGAGCTCTGGTATTGAGCGAAACGCGTCGTAAGCGATGGATATGAAGAACATGGTGTGGTTGAGATACTATTATACGTTCTTCTTCTCAGATAACCATAAAGGACTGAATAAAGAATGCAGTGTTTAAAATTCAATAAGTCAAGTGCGATTGTCTTACGACAAAGTGTTTAAAAGTGATGAATAACCAAAAAAAATTATCCCCAGAAGTCGAAGTCCATGTTGTTTTTACACTTAACATTACACCGTTACGATGTTGTACAAGCAAACTGTTCGAAATTCTATAAGTGCCAAACTCAAAGTATGTTGTTCTATGTGAATATTATCATTTTATGGTTGCTTCGTAAGATAACAAAGGATTATCGTAAAGATAACTTTGCACAGGTGGCTCATATTGACACCAAATGAGACTCATAATTGAAGGTTGAAACTACATATCAGTGTACCAAATTTGAAAACAAAAAATCCATAAAAGTTAAGTTTGTTTTTTCTATCAAATATAGTTTCCGTACATTTGGTGAGAAGAAACTCAATCAAATTTAGAGATGTTATAACTCAGGTATTTTTTAAGGGATTATCTTGAAATTTGGTAAGTGAAGTAAGAGTCCAGTAGAGCACATCTATTAAAAATATCTGATATTTTAGATTACCACAGTCTGAGATAAAGAAGGTGGAAAGTCACTAAAATATCACTCCTGTTAATAACACACAGTGTTGTCTGCAGCAGGTTGTTTTGGCCGCACGACACAGTACCGTGTGTCTTGATTAGGAAGTTATTTACTTTGTTTTATTTTATGATAGCATAGGACATACAAATCAACCGCATCATGATAAAAACAATGACAATTAACACTTGGTACATCTGAAGGAACAGGTAAACAGTAACACGACGTCAAAACCACACAATAGATTAGCAACAATAGCAATAACTCGTGGTGCATCATCAAGAAACAGGTAAACAGTTACACGACATCCAACCATACAATGGATTAGCAACAATGGCAGTAACTCGTGATACATCATCAAGGAACAGTCAAGCAGTAACACGATAACAAACTCATACATTGAACTAGCAACAATGACAAGTAGTACGTGGTATACATCATCAATGGATAGTCAAGCAGCAACACGATATCAAAATTACACATTGAACTCGCAACAATGACAAGTAGTACGTGGTATACATCATCAATGGACAGTCAAGCAGCAACACGATATCAAAATCACACATTGAACTAGCAACAATGACAAGTAGTACTTGGTACAAAATCAAGGAACAGTCAAGCAGTAACACGATATCAAAATCACACATTGAACTAGCAACAATGACAAGTAGTACGTGGTACATCATCAAGGAACAGTCAAGCAGTAACACGATATCAAAATCACATAATGAATATAATTTCTATTAGTATAAAATTCTACAAAGCGACAACGATCATAAGTTGATCACTCTTTAGAATAATATATTTTTGTTAAACTTTAATGTTAAGGAAACGTCGACTACTTTACTTATTTAACATGAGGTGAAATCGTTAGTACAATTTTATACCGACGTAACTACTCTTCAATTAGCGTTAAACCTAGAAATAACATTGGCTTTATGAACGCATTTTTTTAAAATTGTTTATGCACCTATTTGCACAGTCTATGACTGTGTTGGTTACGGGGACTCTAATAACATGTGTCACACACAAACCCAACAAAGATACCGCCAATAGTGCAATTAATCCCAACAATTACTCCTTTGGTTTCCTATGTATGTTGCACAGTAAAGGATCGATTTAATCCAAAGTTTTGGTAATGTCTTTACAATGAGTGTTGTATTTGTCAAAAAAAAAAAAAAATCAACACGATGCAATATATGAATCACATCGCTATATAAACAAGTCGGTAATTTGAGTGTTATAGGGTTTACTTGTATTAATCCTAAAACATAAAAATGAGTCCGGTCTGAAAATAGCCTAAGAAGCGTACAGTGAAATACATAGAATAAAACCAAAACGTAATAAGTGTCAGAAGATGGTAGCACTGGATTACCCAGTAATCTATCCCATCACAATAATTATGTAATAAGTGTCAGAAGATGGTGACACTGGATTATCTAGTAATCTATCCCATCACAATAATTATGTAATAAGTGTCAGAAGATGGTGACACTGGATTATCTAGTAATCTATCCCATCACATTAGTTATGTAATAAGTGTCAAAATACGGCGACACTGGATTACCCGGTAATCTATCCCATCATCTTAGGTATGTAACAAGTGTCAGAAGACGGTAGCATTGGATTACCTAGTAATATATTCCATCACACTAGTTGTGTAATAAGTGTCAGAATATGGTGATACTGGATTACCTTGTAATCTATCCCATCACATTAGTTATGTAATAAGTGTCAGAAGATGGTGACACTGGATTACCTGGTAATCTATCACATTAGTTATGTAATAAGTGTCAGAAGATGGTGACACTGGATTATCTAATAATCTATTCCATCATCTTAGTTGTGTAACAAATATCAGAAAATGGTGACACAGGATTACTTAGTAATCTGTCCCATCACATTAGTTATATAATAAGTGTCAGAAAACTGTGACACTGGATTACCTAGTAATCTATTCCATCATCTTAGGTATGTAACAAGTGTCAGAAGATGGAAGCATTGGATTACCTAGTAATATATTCCATCACACTAGTTGTGTAATAAGTGTCAGAATATGGTGATACTGGATTACCTGGTAATCTATCCCATCACATTAGTTATGTAACAAGTGTCAGAAGATGGTAGCATTGGATTACCTAGTAATATATTCAATCATCTTAGTTATGTTCTAGTTCTATTTACTTTTCAGTTTGCATTTTAGTTATTTTTATTGATTTATATTAAGGATATTGGAAGGTACGGTATTTGGTTAAATTGTGATGCAGTTGAATCCATTCACATATATAGAGTCCGTTGATATGAAAATCTTGAGAAACTATTAGAGAGACCTCTAATTCAACCCACATTCTTGTAGTTAAAAGACTTCTCCTATATTGTTTTATACAGTATTTCCGAGGAACTGTTCAGGTTCTAAAGAGCATTGTATTAATCTTTAAAAAAACACGTCAAAAAACATTTTCAAACACCTTTTCAATAATCGTTAATTGTGTTAAATAGTATTAAGAATATAATGTTACTGAAGAAAAGTCTTAAAAAATCATTTTCAGATGAAATGTATCGGCAAAGTTACAAACTTGTTTCGTTTAAGAAACAAATTTTCACGTTTACTTATAAGCTTAATAGAATGAAAAACTTATCAATTGAGAAAAAAATTGACCATATATACAATGTAAAAAAAGCAAAAACTATTTATAACAGTATCACAAATACAGTTCCAGAGGAGAATACAATGAAACACCGTCTTATCAACAGTTTTAAGGAACTGGAAAAAAAAATTCATAGATTTCACATTACGTATTCGCATAATTTAGATATCTTTTAAACAGTTTTATGTACAGAAAAGAGGATAAGTCTTAAATCACATTACACATATTTCTTGGATAGCTCTTTCGCTAGTTCGGTGTACTTTAAAAACTTAGAATGAGGACTTTCATCTGATGTTTCTGAAAATGGCGGAGATTCTTTTGTGACTAAATTGTTTTCATTAAATGCTTTGTCACCAGAAGGTGGAGTGGCTTTCCAAACAAAAGCATCAGGTGAACTTGTGTCTTTCGCAAAATGCATTTTACTCATATGATGCCTATACGCACCCTTAGAAACAAAATTAGTGTCACAAAAGGCACACTTCATCAGAGAATCTGATGTTGTAGGTTCGTTACATGCCCAACTGAATGACAAAATAGATCCTGGCGGAGTCTGGACAGCAGAACTTGAAACACTGACATCCGTTTTGTCCAATAATTTTTGAAGTTCTCGAAGAGGATGGCCTGTAAACGGTTTATCGTAATCTATATGATTTTTGTCTAGTTCATGATTCAGATCTGTTGCAGACAGTTTGGAAGAATTACTTAATGATGATGGACTTGATTTACCTTTATTTTGTAGAGAATCACCAGGAGACGCAGCGTCTTCTAGATGTTTGAAAATATTTGTTTGACTCAGCGAGCGACTGACATCACACAATTCTTCAACCATTTCATAAGCACTAGATTCACCATTCGATTCATCAACCTCGGAGTAGGCGTCTAAAGAATCTTCGCCATGATCAAATGCTGGACTTTTTGATCGCACAGACCGCACTGGACTTTTTTCAACTTGTCTTTTTGAAGGAAAATAACCACTATCCTCTTCCACAGCTTCATTAAATGTTTCTTGAGAAAGCGTTTGTCCTGTCTTGGATACAATTGTTGTACTCGAATTAAAATAAGTTTCTGATTTCACTGATTGTGGAGATGGTTGTTTTTTGTATGGTAACGAAGAAAGGCCCGAAACGTCCGATTTGGTATCAAAAATTATTTTTTCTTTATTTATTGAAGAATTTCCTTTCGGAAATTTGTTATTGAACGCGTCAGCAGCATCTCGTGATCTGAATGTGCCGTTTTTAATATCTACTATCTTCTTGCCTGGAAGTCCTAAAGGAGGAGTTGTTACTGATGACATTCGAGATTTACTGGACGAATCAATTGCCCCTTTACCAGAGGAATGCCATGGAGGGTAAACTTCCTCGTCGATCCCTAATCTTTGTAGAATGCCAGTGGAACCATTACTGGTCATTTTGCTTCTGTTTTGAAAACTCTTTTCGATCAGTTTTTCAATGGCGTTCAACACAGAAGTTGATTCGTTTCCTTTATTCGTTCCACCAGCTGAAGGATATTTTTGTTCTTTTTCTCGAATAGTGTCTTTTTCAGAGCTTTTGAAGATTGGGGTTTTTGTTACACGAGGCCTGCTTGATTTAGTTACCTCTTCATCAGATTCAATTTTCTCAGGAGTTCCAGATTCGGAATCTTTTTTCACTTGATCGACAGCGCTCTCTGCAATGAAATAAGTTTTCAAAAGATCATACGATTTAGAATTTTGAGTGCAGTTTTTTATATGTATTACAAAGTCTTTGGCATCTACTTTCTCGGCGCATTCTTCACACGTAATCTTGCCACTAACTTTCTCGCTGTTTGACACAGGTCGTTCATTTCGTTCCTTAGGTAAATTTAAGTTGTTCATCTCCATTCTTTCTAATTCAAGAAGCTTTTTAACAGGCAAAGATTTTTTCCTCCTTTCTCTAGTCTGTCTACGTCTTCCTCCACTTTCCGTAATGGTACGTAAAATATGTTCCTTGTAATGAGCGTTTTTCATCATGTGATAACTGAGTTCCTTGAGACTACCAAACACTTGGTTACAAACCTTACAAGTCAAGACGGCATTTATCTGCGACTGTGACGTCATTTTATCAGCTGGGACTTTCCAAGATATAATCTGCTCTTGACTAATAATATTATTATAGTGTTGAGTGACTCGCATATGATTGGTCATATCTGCCAGAGTCTTGAACGACTGTCCACACCACATGCATTTCAGGATTTGACGAGTTTGCTCAGCACCTTTCCCTAACCAAACATCTTGACCTCTAACTAGCTTGCGAGGTAGTGCCATACTTTCTTTCATCAAAAGACTACTGCCGTTATTAGAAGATGAGCATTTTGGAACTGAAGATGGGTCTTCTGAGGAGATACTAGTGTTTGACGAAGTTGATGGTGCAGATGTCTGTATGCCTGTCATCCCACACTTCGGACTCTTCTGTATATGAATAGTCATTTCACCTAGACTTTTAAAAGATTGTTTACACCAAACACAAGTAAAAACATCTTTCGCTTGTTCTTCACTTTTGTTGATCCACTGGTTCTGCCATGGATTTTTCCGGCTTCCTGTCCGATATCCCTGTGGTTTGGTGACTGTGTGACACAATTCATTCATCTTTTCGAAAGCAGTGGCCATGTTGGAAGTTATAAGACTTGTATTAAGTACTTGACTTTTTAACGATTCAACAGACTTGTGTGAAACGTTGTATGATGTAGCAGAACTAACTTCGGATATCTTAGAACTCTCGAAAGACATTAATTTTCCATTCCAGGTTAATCTGTTTAAACATTCTCTTTGAGGTGATACGTGAAAGAGATTGTCTACACGAGTCAATTTTGATTCCCTTGGATATTTTGCTGTATTCTTCCTTCTGTTTGGTGTGGAGAGATCAAGAGGTTCGTTTTGTGACTCAGGGGGGAATCCGTTGATAGGGGACCCAGGTGATAAACTTGAAGCCATAGGGAAACACTGGTTTTGATTCCGAAAACTAAAGTCGATTGGTCCGTCATCCATCATTGTTTCAATTGCGAAGTTGTTGCAATTAACAATGGGATAAATCTTGGACTGGTGACTGTTTGTTAATGATTGGGCAGAATACAATCTCGTTTCTCTGGACGAGTAAGTACCACTTTTGGCTTCATTAGTGTTAAGTTCATCAGGGTGTACCAGAGGAAGAGTGGCATCATTAAAATGATTCTGGTGGTCTAGATCTGTCCGTTCAGCTAGTTCATGGTTAATATTCTGCTCTTCAACTACATCGCAATCAGAAGAAAGACTTTCACCATCTGCCATCTCAAACTTTCCGGCATCTCCATCTTCACCTGGAATATAGAAAACACAGAAAGTGAGTTAGTTCATGTTTTTTACATAAACTTTCAAACTAGAATTTCAAAAAATAAAATGTCTAGCTACTGACAGTAAGTTATATTCCATACTTAGCTAAGCCATTACATTTTTAAAACCAACAACACAAATGCATATTAACGAGTGCCTAGAATATATGGCTTTGCGCGCAGATTGGCTTCTCTTGATATGTTGTAAGTCTTTTGTCTGTACTAACGTCTTATAAAACTGTAGAATAAAAGAAGTTTCAGGATCTCACTCCTTTTTAAACAATGCTCAGGCACCAAATCTGTCACATACTCTTATTCAACAGGTGTACCATCTGCATAAAGATACCATAAACCATCCTTAACCCCTGCTGAGGGCTCTTAAACGTCACTTTCAATAAACAAGGGTGCGTCGTCTATGTTTTGACAGCTTTTAAATCATATTCCTTCCAACACCTCAAATACAATGAAGCTGGGAGTCAGATATAGTGTTGTGTACAATAAGGTTTAGGAATGTTGCAGTGCAGGAAAATGAAACATAAAAAAACAAAACACACACACACACAGATAAGTACGAATGTAATTTTCAGGACAAAAATACATCACGTATTTTACATCTTAAGCCTGCTAAAATCATACATAACTCTTTTAAAATTAACTTTATTTTTTTCAAAACATACGTACAATCAGATATAGTTTTTTCAAAGCACTTATAATTAAACTTAATCCTTTCTCTAATATTTTAACTGTTAATAAGATATTCATAGATAATTCAAAATATTACTTTTTTTCTTCACTCTACAATGTGTAATTTCACCGAAGAAAACAAAATATTTGTAAATTCAAAATATCACTTAGTTTAAAGTGTGTATTTAGAATAGCCAAAAATATATAAATAATTATCATATATTTTTTTTGCTTAAACGTAATGTTTATCTTAACTCTTTTTGTTTTATCCACAAACTTTACTTTGTGATTGGTTAGTAAATGTAACAAGGCATGTGTTAACAGTTTTCCTTAAACCAATTCTATGCTCTTCTTCTAAGAATATCAAATAAATATTAAAATGAAACATAACAGCACTTTTGTTTCAAAGATTGGACTTTTAATATTTCGTGCATGAAACTGTGAATATCACGGGAAGCTCGTGTTTTGGCAGACATTTGCATATAGAAAAACAACTCTTTTAAACTCAAACACAAAATATCGCTCCTGCTTTCAATTTGAGATTTCTGACAATTCCTGTGCTGTTTCATTTGCAAACTAAAGCGTACAAGTTTCAAGAAGATTCAATTGAGTGAAATAAAGAAATAGTTATATATATATATATATTCATATAACTAACTGTCAACAACCAAATTAACATAATTAATTATTCGCAATCAAAATCACATTACTATTAATAACAAATATTATATAACAAACAGTTAAAAGCCAAACTGGTATAACTGATTGTTAAAATCCAAAGCCATTTAACACTCAAAATAATACACCCAATTGCTTAGCTCAAGAAACTCCACGTAAATGTAAGATGCTAATGAAAGTGTACTTAAAATAGTAACATTGGGTTATTATACATATTTCGCTAATATTTTTAGTAGATATTTAGGGATTATGTATTATGTTTGTTTCTTTCGGATATTCACGCAAAGGTGTATTTGCGATAGCCCAGTTACTAGTTTTGAACTTATAGACTAAGGAGAAAGAAAGCTAGTCAACAGCACGACCGCCAACTTTTGGGCTACTCTTATCTGACAGAATAATGGGGTTTGATTCTTACTCTTGATAGTGCACCCAAGACTCAAAGGCGTGAATCGAGATTTTGTGACAACGTAGATATTTATGTTTTAATTACAGCAAGATGCTCTTTATGTCTGAAACTAACCTGCCAGCCTTACGATACATCCCCTAATGATCTAATGGCTTAACAAAACCGCACTGTAACTAAAGTTATCCAAATACAATTTAAGGGTCTTTAAATAATGTTTTCTAACATGATTAGGTCATGTGTGATAGACTAAAATTAGCAACAATATCTAAGCCTATCTTAAGGCTGTAGCCATCTGCACTTTATCTAATGCCAGCAGCTAGCCAAATTTCAACTCTATAACCGTATAATCAATGAATGTATATAAGAAAAGCCCCCGAGATATCTAAACATATCCATGGAAGTAGTGTCAGAAAAAAAAAGATACCGATTACAAATGATTTACAGACGACGACACGAGTAAATCTGTGTTCCCCACAACCAAGGAGCGCCAAGTCACCGACTGGGTCAACTTGATGGGTTGCTATCCGTCTTTTAACTAACAAAGGAACACATCTGACACTCTCCACTAGGGGCACACACCTCATTTTGCCTTTGTAGCGTCAAGTTAGCCCTGTTTGTAAGCATGGTAGATTTTAGGAGGATATTTCAGTGATATGTGAAATACTGTAGTGGCCCAGGGCGAATTGGCAATCGCTTGTCCTTGTTAACGTCTGAAGGCTTTCAAAACTAATAGCTATGTTTACATTTTTAGACATATAATTCCAAACTAAGTCTTACATAGCTCGTTCTTTTGTACGTGTATTTACGTGAATGTAAAATGTAATCGCAAATACATTACAAGCAGAGTAGACTAGGTACATTAAATAATGATCTTACTTATTTGCATTAACATAGGTTCGAGCGTGGCCTACGATCTAGCGTGATTCCGGACTGTGAATCCATGGATTCATGGTTCGTGGGTCATTCCTGTAAAAATGCGCTTTGCACTTTGGGGCCGTGATAGTGCAAAAAGAGTGAGGGCCAAATCCTAATATTGAAGAGTTCGCGCCGAAATTGGAAACAAAGGAAGTGGAGTAGGAGGTGAATCACAGAATCACAAGACAAAGTGTTGGTGGAAACAAAAGGAAGTGGGGTAGAAGGTGAATATAGAATCACATGACGAAGTGATGATGAAACAAAAGGAAGTGGGGTAGGAGGTGAATCACAGAACCACATGACAAAGTGATGATGGAAACAAAGGAAGTGGAGTAGGAGGTGAATCACAGAATCACATGACAAAGTGATGACGGAAACAAAGTATTAAACATTTTTGGTGTTAAGGTAACCTCTTTCAGTTTTTTTGTTTTTTGATGAATTAATGCATAATTTAAAATGCTATTGACAATACGCATAAACAATTAAATATCCTTTTTGGATGTTAACTGTTAATTGAAAAGAGAAATAAAAGTATAATGTCGACTTTAAAGCCTGTCTAATTTTATGAAATAAAAGATCGGCCAAAAACAATTTTTTGAACGTAACGTTACAATAGATATCACCACAGGGGGCAATCGAAAACAGTTAAGAGGTCGGCCTCGGATACATGCGCGTTTAGCATTTTGTTGACTATAGTAGGTTAACAAACAACTCTTTGTAAGCACAGTGGTGTTTTTTGTTTTTGTAGCAAACATACTACATGTTTCGGCATTATGTTTTCTGCAACATATATCATTGTGCTTTCAAATAATTGTTTGTGAATTTACTACTGTATTAGCATACTGTGTTTCTCTACACAAGTATTTTGCTGGCTGACTAGCGGAAAACATTCGTTAAGCCTAATGGTGAAATGAGATCACCGTGCACTTATATATTTATATATAAAATCGCCCGAAAATTCTGTCATATTAATTGCTATTTCACTTACAGAAAACAATGCGAACGCGTAATTTTTTACACTTGAGAGTCAACTCAGTTTCAATATAAATTACGTCAGTAACCGGATTTCTATAGGCCCGCAGGCGACTAATGATCAACTGTTAGAAAGTCACGTGACCTCTGCTTGTCAGGTAAGTCCTTGATGAATGAGTGACCGCTATGAGATGAGCCCAACCCTGAAAACTGCTCATAATCAACAGAGCTTGGGTTCAAGGATGTAATATTTAATGAAACTCTCTCATTACACACATATACCCGTATCATATATGTAAACAGGTTAAGGTTTGGGAAGGATGGCGGTAAAATATAAGTACGGTAAACAAAGGGTTTATGTCGAACATGTTATTATAATGACAACTGCTATACGATTTTTAAAATTCGATGAAGTTATGTAACACGTCAACAAATTACACAGACAGGTGGCGAGGGAATATTAAGTTATTGTTCTTTATATTCAGCTAGGATTTATATTTCAAAGACTTTCAGTTCTACATGTTTTGATGTTTATGGTTTAACGCAGTTATATGTAATAATGTTTTTAGCTTATGGAATTTCAAAATATTAGGAAACTAAACTCGTCGTCCAATTATTATTCCAGTTGTAGCTATCGTTTTCAATATATATATATATATAATCTTTACTGAAACTTATTGTTGGTTTGGAATTAAGCACAAAGCTACACAATGGGCTATCTGTGCTCTGCCCACCACGGGTATCGAAACCCGGTTTCTAGCGTTGTAAGTCGGCAGACATACCGCTGTGCCACTGGGGGGCTAATCTTTATTGAAATTTATTGTTTTTTTGTTTGGAATTAAGCACAAAGCTACACAATGGGGTATCTGTGCTCTGCCCACCACGGGTATCGAAACCCAGTTTCTAGCGTTGTAATTCCGCAGACATACCGCTGTGCCACTGGGGGGCCTGACATTTATACATTAATAAAAGTAGAAACATTACTTATGAACAGAAGTTTTGCTAACATAACTTATTAATAAATTCTACTTCCGATTATTATTTCATGACACCACATAATAAAGCACAAAGAATGGAGATCGGATTTGAATGAAAATTTGCATAGATATAGTGATATACATAATATACTACTTATGACGTGTTAAACGAGATGGTAGCCAATAACAAATGCAGATGTATATGTTAAGCACGGTATACTGTTTTTGGTTAGATACTTTTGAAATAGCTACAGAAAATATACATATATTTATTACCAGTAATATGTATACCAGCTCAGTTGGTGAAAGATGGAAGCATTTACTCATCATGTACCATCATGGTGGTTCATATGACA